TTCAACCCAGGAAACCATCTCTCCCTTCTATATTCCCATCCACGCATCTATACACTCTGAAGAAAGGACTTTCCTTACTGAGTACTCTCACAAACCTCCACAGCAAAGACCCACCTATAACCTCAACTGCAATTTGGCTCATAAGGAATAGCTCATCAGAGAACTACTTCATCAATGGCAGGTGGTGGTGGTGGTTGGAATCCACCCACCTGCCAGTATTTAGCCTTCCTGGTTGTGGAACATCTGTCCCCCCATAAACTGTTGGACTCCAACTCCCATCATCGCTGAGGCCATTGGCCACGCTGGCTGGGGCTGATGGGAGTTGCAGTTCAACAACATGTGGAGGGCACAGGTTCCCCACCCTTGCTTTAAGCAGCGGAGTCACCCACTGTGATTTGCTCATATACAATCTTCTCTCTAGGAAGGAACTCCTGGGGAATGCTATAATTCTATGAAGGAACTGTAGATATGGGGCAGGATCTGACAATGCATTGCACAGGCTGACTCGGGGCTTCTGGTATCACATACACCTCTCCTGCCTCATCCTTGGTAGCAGTTTTGTCAACATAAATTAGTTTATCATCATTTTAAAAGTTCCAAACAAATGTTAAATTGGTTGGGACAGACAACTCAATCAGTGTTTGGTTTGCTGATGCATATGCCTGCCAAAACCTTTGCAGAGGTGAAGCCAGGTGAAAGGCAAAAAAGCATGGTGAATTTAGAAATACAGCTGCATGCCGTCATGCTTTGTGCTAAATCCCCATCCTCACCGAACTAAAACACAGCAGACAGCAACTATGTAGGGGATGGGGAAAGGCCACAGGGAAGGCATAAAACATACAGTGGGCGGCTAGACACCCACACTTACCAGTTCAGGTAGAGGGAGGGGCTGGCAGGATGATGCTACCTGGAAATGAGAGGAAACAGAGAATGAAAAGTCCGGCTGCACATCCCCGGCTGCTCAGCTGGGAGGCCTCCCAGCTCGCCAGCTTCCCCACAAACAGGGCTTTGCAATGACCAAACCACCCCTTCCTCTCTCCATGCTCAGGAGTGGGGGGAGTGGAGAAAGACTCTTGCTCGGCTCCTCGGACTGCCTCTCTAAGAGGCGGCAGGATCTGCCTCTTTTTCCCATCAGGGTGTTTGCTTTGGCCTGGGCTGGGCCCTTCCAATGACGGCGCACACATAGGCAGCAATTCATCACGGCTGGGAGGCAGAGCGGGCAGCACAGCGGTGGGGGCTCTGCTATATATAGAGAAATGTAAACAGGCTGCACCCCACACCCAGGAGGGAAGCACAGGGAGGCTATTCAGCCCTGCCGCTCTCCCATCTCACCTGGTGAAGCTGCCTCTGCATCCCTGGGTGACCTATGGGAGAAGAGGGAGGGACCAAGTGCCGTCTACTTCATCTTCTACAGGTTCTGGCACTGCTGCTTTCAGGAGACAGAGAACTCCCACCTCCCCTGGCAGCCTGATCTAAGGGATGAGGCCACGTCAGCAAGGGGCTTGTCTTGCTCCTCCATGGATGTTACTAGCAACAAATAATTGAGTCGGAATTTATTAATATTTGTTCAACTGCTTGCTTTCACTCAACACGCGCACAAATGAATGTGCATGTATGTGTCCGTGAACAAATAAAAACTGAACATCAGAGTAGCGCTAAACATGACAGACAAATATAATCCTGAATGGCCATGGTACTTTGTTAGATAAAAACTGTTTTTTTTGGGGGGGGGGCACTTTGGAACAGAGAAACATCAGCATGCTTAACGCTCTCCTTACCTGCCACTTTCCCCGCTCCCCCCCGCCCAGGCCCCAGAGACTGTTCCAGATACGTGTTTATAAGGGCGTACAAAAATCAAAATGTGAGCCTGAAATAGGATAATGCTACATTTTTTTGAAGTTCTAAGTAGAATATTTGTGAGCTAGGCAAACACTTCTACTGAGAGGATTCAGTTGCTTTCCTAATAAGAACGCCAAACATTAAGAGATGTGCATAAATGACCAATTCCTGTAAATAGGAAGATTCTGTTTCACTTTTCCTTTCATGTAAAATGTCCTTTGAAGCAGAAAACAGGGAAGGTTTTATTTAACATCCTGAGGACAGAAAGAGGGACCATGTGCCTATACCATTAAACCTCCCCAAATGAATTATCTTTTAATATTAGACATACCACTCTAACTAAGAGCAATTTTTATAGACTGCTTTTTTTTTAGCTTGAGTTTCCAACGTTCTTTGATGAATTTTGCTGCTAGATGATTCAAACCAGATATTATTCAGAAATATTGCTTCCTTATTGCAGGGGTACCTAACCCCTGTCCTGGAGGCCTAATCAAGCAAATTTTGCTAGTCCCCAAATACTCCATCATTTGGCAGTGGCAGCAAAACGAAAAAAGAAGGTATGATTGGGGGTTTGGGAGAGAGGTTGCCTTGATGGTAGGGATGGGGAGAAATTCATCTCAGTTTGCATTTAAAGTTGAATTTATCAAAATTGGACTTCCTGAAACAATATAAGAACAGAAACACAGCCATCCTTCAAAATTCACACTTAACACTTATATTAAGGGGAAATGTGTATAAAAATTAACAGATTGACAATATCACACAAAAGCATTATGTTAGGAGAAATTGCTTGCAAAATGTGTACAAACTGCCAACAAAAAATGTGTTTAGAGGAAATTTGCACCAAAATGCTGAGGAATTTTCATGAAGATATGTATTTTTAAGATGAGGAAAATGAGAAACAGAGGGATCCTGTCACCCCTACCTGATGGGGATGCAATTTGCTTCCCTCCCAAGTAATCAAATTGATCATTTGATGAGCAAGGAGGAGACCAACTTCCCTCATCAGCTGTACAGCAGAGATCAGCTGTGGAGCAGAGGCTTTGTCATGTGGTGGGGGGCGGGGGGGGGAATAAGGGTGGCCACGCCTACTTTGGGTCATGCCCACTCCTGGCATTCACCCCCTCCAGTTGGCCAAGGGGGACGGCAGCCCTCGGTCCAGAGAGGGTTAGGCCACATCCCTGCTTTACACAACAAGCACATTTATTTATTATAGTTATTTTAAATCATTTATTTGCCACCTCTCCAAATCAAAATTCACCCAAGGCATCTTTCATATTAAAATAAGGGTATGTAAACTGCAACTGAAAAAAAAGTAGAGCCTTGAAACTCCCAAAGAACAATTCAATCAACAGGTTCTGTAAGCATCATTCGTAAAATCAGCAATGACTAATCTCCAAAACTGAATCAAATTGCTTATCGAAACAGGCAAATGAAACACCATCTATATAGAATTTTGTACAGATTCTGTCACAGCATTTGAAGTCTTAAAATTCTCAAGCTTCTGCCATGGGATCATATAAGAAAGTTCCTAGATCTCTTGCTTCTGAAGAGTTGTTTGAGTAATACGTAGATTGTGTGTAGAAGGAAAAGTCTTCGTGTCGTGCAAGGGAGAGCCGCCAGCTCATCTCTCACAGCCTTTTCATTTTAACCTTTCCACCCTCCACAATGCCATGCTTTGCTGTAAGTTCCAAACAGGTTCTGCAAAGTTTTAAAGACCAGGTTCAGAACTGTCAGAAGGGATAGGCTTATGTGGGTTCATTTTGTTAAGCTTGCGAATTTTAGTATGAGCACTGAGTTTTGGAGTTGCAACATATAAATATAAAGGTAAAGGACCCCTGACAGTTAAGTCCAGTCGTGAACGACTCTGGGGTTGCGTGCTCATGTTGCTTTAAAGGTCGAGGGAGCCGGCGTTTGTCCGCAGACAGTTTTTCCGGGTCATGTGGCCAGCATGACTAAGCCGCTTCTGGCAAAACCAGAGCAGTGCACGGAAACGCTGTTTACCTTCCCACCGGAGTGGTACCTATTTATCTACTTGCACTTTGACGTGCTTTCAAACTGCTAGGGTGGCAGGAGCAGGGACCGAGCAACGGGAGCTCACCCCGTCGCGGGGATTCAAATCGCTGACCTTCTGATGGGCAAGCCCTAGGCTCTGTGGTTTAACCCACAGCGCCACCCGCATCCTTTTTAACATGCATTGTAAATACCCCTTATCTATTTTTCGTTATGCAGCTGCCCTCTTCGTGACAGCATATCATTAATCACTTAGTGATGAAATCACCAAAATGATGTAGAATCAGATCAGACTCTTAGGCTTCCAACCTAATTTCAAAATACCACAGGCAGGAAGCCCTTGGGATGGGGAGAATGAAGCGGGTGTCAGAAACTCTCTCTCTGTGTGTGTGTGTGTGTGAGAGAGAGAGAGAGAGAGAGAGGGCACAGGAGATGTCAGGAAAAAGAAAAGTAAAGTAGGGGCCCATGCCCACTTTGGGCTATGGTTGTGCCCACTGCTGGATTCAGTCACACCCACATAAACTTAGCAGCCCCCAACGGATTGCCCCCATAAGCAATGTGGCTTTGACAGAAAAAGAATTCCCCTTCCTACCTAGACAAACAGGAGCTGGGATCCTTGTGTACATGTGTAACGTTTTTCCATGAGTCACACACAGGAAAGGAACGGCTACATTTGGGGGGAAGGGGAGGGTGATTTTACCACTACGCACATGAACCCTGTGCTTACATGTTGGAGCCCATCATCCTTCCTTAAGAAGCTCCCTTACAAAAACAAACTCTTCCCCGCTCCCATCTTGGTCACACTCCATACTAAGAAGAGTTTATTTCTGTTCCTGGGCTACATCATGAAAACTAGGTAGGTAAGAGTCAGGCGCTCCCGTGTTGCACTGCAATCGAACTTCCAAAGCAACTTCCAAACTAACATCAGGCAAAGATTCTGGTTGGCCAAGTCTCCTTTGCAGGTCAAAACTGATCCCTCTGCACAAGAATGTGCTGCGCAAGAGGAAGAGGTATTGCAGGGGGCTGGACTAGAAGGCCCTCAGGGTTCCTTCCAACCCTACAATTCTATGATTCTATGATACTAATAATGGAACTGTAAAGTCGGAAGGAACCCCAAGGGTCATCTAGTCCAACCCCCTGCAAAGCTGGAATCTTTCTAGGGCTCAAACCCACAACCCTGAGATTAAGAGTCTCATGCTCTATCCACTGAGTTTATGAGATTTTTATTTTTAAATGCAAAACACATTGCCTCAATGGGTCCTATGTTTTTTTCAGACCTGGAAAGCTGTGGGGCTCAATCAAACCACGTAGTTTTGTCTGGGTGTCAAAGCTAGTTGTAGCTCCTGCCTCTGTCCCATCATGTGGTGCAAAGTGGCAGGTCAGAGTGCCTTTGTCAAACCAACTATCAACACAACTGAAATTACACTGTGTGTGAACAAGGGTACAATTAAGTAAACAGACAAAAGAGGTGCCTGTTGCACATGACGCAGGGTATTCTTTTGTGACCTGTGCCTTTAATTAAAGAAACAAACAAACACCAAGTGGGATGGAGAATATCTTCTCTTCTGAAGCCTGGGGGAGTTGGGGGGGCAGTTTAATTTGCCAGATTGTTATTAGCACTCCAAAAAACAATCAATAAGCATTTTGAATCTAATCAGGTCCTTGTGACCTGCCAGCTGTTGCCCTCTGAATGACTTGCCTTTTGGGGCAGAAAGAGGATTCCCCACCCTTTCTCCCTATCCTTCATCTAAATTGCCTCTTGAAGCAAAGCTTGGGAGTTTTGAATATACAGATTTTGTTTTGTGGCTGAGCAGGCATCTCCAATCCTGGGGGTAGGACACACCTACCTGGTGGGATAAAATTATACAGCTGATTGCGCACCCTCTTGGTGGTTCACAGCTGGGTTAACATTCAAAATGGAACCAGAGTTGAATAGCGTAGTCCTATCACTTTCAAATCTAAATTCCAGAAATTACAGGGCTGTGAATTATGGGTTGAATCCAATGTAGCTCTAAGTAAAAGTTGTTCAGTTAGAGCAAGGGTTTATGCTTGTGCAATGGAGTTTTCCCATCGCACACACTTAATCTTCTCTGAGTTCCCCTCCACAACCTTCCTGAGCAGATTTGAGGAAGGTACTGGGTGCAGGCAAATGGAGGAGAGTGAGGAATAGTTCTGTTGCACATTCTTTGCACTGAAGGAATGAATGCAGTTTTTGGATTTTTATGTATTTGCTGCATTCTTGTGGAATTTTATCATTTAGGTGACTGCTACCAACTGCCAAACTTGGCCTACAGGGAGAGAGGGAGGAAGGGATCCATTTCCCCACCCCTGCTCTCTTACAGTCATCTTCAGAGGCTGAAAAAAGTGGTAAGGATTATGACTTGGAATAAGAGACCTAGGACTCAATGACTCATAATCCGCCCCTCTTCCCCTTCCTCACACCTTCTGAAATAATGTTTTACACCATTATTGATGGGAAGTGAAGTCAAGAGCAGGAAACAGGAGAAAAGCTTAATAGTCAAAACAAGGAGAATCTTGTAGCAGCTTAAAAGACTAAGGGCTCATCCAAACTTCTGCTTGTGTCATGCCTGGAAAGCACTTTCTAGACACAGGTCCTAGTGGTCTACCCTTTGCCCCCTTCCTTTCCAAGTTAAAACCCACTCGTAGGGTAGATCGGAACAAATGGCAATCAATTTGTCATTTGCTCCAGCTGAGCTCAAAGAGCGATTTCTTCCAGCAGAACGAGAGGAAGTGTGGATAAGCCCCAACTTAAGGAAAAGCTTTCAGGAACTTGAATCCATCAGATGCTCCACAACAACTTGGAGCAAGGCTTTCAGTTTGGCTGCCCATTTTGTGGAACAGCATTCCTCTTCAGATTTGACAGACACATTTCCAGGAACAATTGAATACTTTTCTTTAGGTCTCTGCTTTGGGTAATTATTTGCATCGTTTGCCAGATTGAGATTTATGTGAAAAGTGATTCAATACTAATAACAATAACAACTTAGATGGGCATCTGTTAGGGGTTCTTTAGTTGAAATTCCTGCATTGCAGGGGGTAGGCTTTGGGCCCTTCCCTCAAATTCTATGATTCTAAGTATCCAACATAATAATAATAATAATAATAATAATAATAATATGATAATAATTTATTATTTCTACCCCACCCATCTGGCTGGGTTTCCCCAGTCACTCTGGGCAGCTTCCAACAAAAGATTAAAAATACATTAAACACAGTGCTAGGTGAACATTCTGTCAGCACAAGGATTTCTGCTTGTGCAATAGACTATTCTCTCCCTCTCCTTCCTGTTCTCCCCTTAAATCTGTCCTAGGTGTTTCTGGGGTACATGTGGGGAAAGTGGGGGGAGTCCCATAGTGCATGTGGAAATCCTTCCACTAATGCGACACAGGAGCTGAATACCACCAAATGCTGCTACTGATAAGAATACATGTAGGCAAAGAAAGGGGAGAAATTAACAGCAGAGGCACAGGAATGCATCTCCAGTTACCTTTTTGGATTGCTAAAAGCAGCCACAGGGTTAGATCAGCATAATGGAGGAGGGCATGAGGGGAGCATCAAATGCTTGCTCCCCTGCCATGGCCCAGATCCAAATCACACACACATACTTTGGAACTATGATTAGCCGTGGAGGGGAAAACGTTGGGCATGTCATGTCTAATTTGGCCCTCAGAACAAAGTCCAACAAATGTAATTTTTACTCGCAGGCAGACCTATAAATAGTCATCACCAAGATGGCCAGAAATAGCTTCCTAGTATCCAAAGCTTTTTAAAAAGTGTGTCTTTGCTTTCAGCCACACATCATTTTTAACAGAGAAATGTGTGGGCCAGCAGGCTAGTAAACGCCTGGTTCACCCCCCCATTGCGCATGATGTGCATATGACATCACATGATGCCGGGCCTCCGCAATGTGGGGGGCAAGTTGGCACCCTTGATCCCAAGCATGCGTGCATGAGATTGAAACCTCAGTATTGCAGTTTCAAAAGGACACAATTAATGCATGCATTGACCCACTGGAAGCAGATTAAAGGGATGTGGTAGCCTGAGTAGTCGAAAAGAACTCAGGATAATTCACCATCCATTTACTACTCATATTCAAGTTTTCTCCCACTTTCTGCAAATGCACTTGGGTCTTTAGTCTGGGGTTCCCTCTGCTGCTCATGCCCCATTTCATCTCATCGCCACACCCTGCCCCACATACACATGCCCTCTCTCAGACACAAACGGCCTCCAATCTTTAATGTTCTCCTGCGGTTCGGTTGTGGGAAACTTTTGGGATGTGGAGCAGATGTGTGTGTGTGTGTGTGTGTGTGCGCGCACACACACACACGCACTGTTCTGGAGGAAGCTTCTTGCCTCCCCCTCCCAAGCCCTCTGGCTTGATCCCTCCAGCAAGCCCTGGCCTGGGAAAACATCTGGACCAGCCCATGGGAGGCAGAGGGGAGGTCGCCAGGATGTGGGAAACTCTAGGAGGAAGTCTAGGCTGTACATCTCAACAGGCCAACTGCACAGCTAGCAGGCCTCACGGCCTGATGAGTTGGGCTGCTTCTTAGCAAAAGGAAGACATTGCATTTTTATGGCACATCTGCAAAGGATAGACAGGCCTCTGAGCTTGGAGGGGTGGGGGCTTTGTACTCCCCTCCTTCCAGATGCCACAGACAGCAGCCGGGGGGGGGGTGAGGCACAGAGCAGGAAAAGAGCTTAGCCAGGTCCATTTATGCATCAGTCTTCAAACCTGGGCTGCCTTGGATCTCAGCCTTCCCTATGCCTCTTCTAAGGACCTCTGCATGAAGGAGGTGATACTAGAGTGGTTGCAGGGGATCACATTTTTGATGCTCCTCTACATTAAAGGAATATAAAAGGTTTGACTGAAAGCTCTAGGCTCCCTCTTTGAAGCCATAAACTTGGGGAGGGGAATCTCAGGCCTGGGGCCCAAATGTGGACCTTGAGGCCACTCTAGCTGGCTCTCAAATGCTCCCCAGGCTACACCCGTCACTGGCCCAAGTGTTTTTGGTTGGCTGGAACATGTCCTGGGACTCTGAAAATGCCCTTAGTCTGCCTGGACAGAGAGGGGTGTGTGGGAGCGTGCCTACTGGACAAAGGTAAAATTTGCACCCCTGCTCCACCCACCACTGACACGTGGCTGAAAGTTTCCCTGCCCGTGGCATAAAGGGTTTGGAAACAGGTTGCTTGAAGGACGGCTTGCAGCCACGTGAACCTGCCCAGGCCTTGAGACGGCTTCTGAGGCTCTGCTTTCAATCCCTCCGTCAGGCTGACAGGCATGAGGATCTTTGTCATAGTGGCCTTGAATTCTTGGAACTCTCCCCCAGAAGAAGTGCGTATAGCCCCATCTTTATCAACTTTTTAAAAGGACCTTTTAATTAGTTAATTGATGGTTTCAATTGAAAGAACTGCAAGCTGAGTTTTAAGTTGTGGCCATTTTCCTTTTGAAGTGTATTTTCTTTTTCTTTATATCACCTTTAGTAAGCTGTGATGGGAAGGCTTGCGTGAGTATTTTAAATTAAAGTAAGTTAATTAAAACAAAAATCTCCCTGCATGCAGAAAATCAGCGCAGGAAGGAGCAGGCTGAGCTTGATCCCATCTTCCTGATGCACTGCTTTTCTACTGGTAGGGAGTTTTTGTTTTCGCTAGCTCGGGAAGCATTCAAAAAATGTGCCCCACCCACTCTGCTCACCCTCTCCAGAGGCTGACAGAGACTGAATCCTGGACTAGATGCAGCTTTTGGTCTAATCCGGCAAGGCGGTACCTCTCATGAGCTCACAAGGGCAAAGCAGTTCCAGATGACTTTTGGATGCAAGCCAATCCACTCGCTATAGGGGAAGGCAAAACATGACATAAGGGAAGACAAAAAGGGCATTGTGGCTTGCAGAAGGGGTGGAAATCCGCACCACCTCCAAGTACGTTAATCTGTCAGGCCCTGTGTGCGAGGAAAGCCCACCAAAGGGATTTGCAGGGCAGCCTTCTTACTGTCCCTGATGCCTCCCCTGAATGGCCTCCCGCCAGCCAGAGTCCAAGGATGAAACTCTCCCCACTAGGGGAACGGCGGAGGGGGGGAGATTCCAGGGAGGAGGCTGCAGAACAAATTGCTCTGGACGAGTCACGCAAGATCTAAGCCATATGCCGCTGGGGAATCTTGGGCAACTTAAAGAGAGAAGAAGGAGAGACTCCAAATAAACAGCAGAG